GATTACTGCAATGCGCTCTACATGGGGCTACCCTTGAAGAGTATCCGGAAGCTACAGCTGGTGCAGAGTGTGGTGGCATGGACAGTTCTGAATGCCCCTGGGGGGCACATGTAACACTGCTGTTGCATGAGCTGCACTGGTTGCTGGTGTGCTTCCAGGTCCAATTCAAGGTGCTGGTCATCACCTTTAAAACCCTTCATGGCACAGGACCAGGTTACCTGAGGAGCCGTCTCGCCCCCATTATGTCCGCCTGCCCCGCTTGGTCCAGCAGAAGGGGCATGTTGCGGACCCCGTCGGTCAAGGAATTTCAGCTGGAAGAGGGCCTTTTCTGCTGTGGCCCCCGCCCTGTGGAATAGGTTACCACCTGAGGTACGGGCCACTCCCACTCTCTTGGCCTTCCCAAAAAGTGTGAAAACATGGCTACACCAGATGGCCTGGGGGCCTGATGGGGACTCACATTGTTGGAACTGGCTGGTGGGATGATCAATACTGCTCCCCCCACATCATCTTGAATTGCATATAGGCTTTTTATATAGAATTGTTAGTAGTTAATTTTAATATGGATGTTTATATTTTTATTGTTCTTACTGTTTTGGATTTTAATTGTGAGCCACCCAGAATCGCCCTCTGGGGGAGAAGGGTGGCATATACATTTAATAAAATAAATAAAAGGGTGGGGGCCGGCCAGATTCCCGGTGGGGAGGGTGTTCCATAAGGTAGGGGCAGCCATGGAAAAGGCACATTTCTGAGAGGTTGCAGGATTTCAGGGAAGGGACCTGGAGCATGCCCAGCTTATCTGATCTGGTGGGAGGGACAGATACACTTAGGGAGAGGCGGTCCCACAAATAACCGGTCCCACGCCATGTAGGGCTTTAAAGGTGATAACCAGCACCTTGAATTGCGCCCAGAACGAAACTGGGAGCTACTGCAGCTCATGCAACAGAGGTGTGATGTGGGCGAACCTAAAAACACACAACGCTGTCTATGCCAGTTGTGGCTTCCAAGTGGTCTTCAAGGGCAGCCTCATGTACAGCACATTACAGTAATCTAAATGGGAGGTGACTAAGGGGTGAGTAACCACGAGCAAGGTCTCCTGGTCCAGAAAAGGCCGCAACTGGCATACAAGATGAATCTGGGCAAAGGCCCTCCTAACGACAGCAGCCACCTGCTTGTCGAGCAGGAGCCGTGAGTCTAGGAGGACCCCCAGATTGTGCACCAGCTCAGTCCAGGGAAGTGCAACCCCATCCAGAGCCAAGAATGACATATCACCAGACTCTGGGGGGCCAAAACCCCAAAGTCACTCCGTCCTGCCAGGGTTAAGTCGAAAATCGGTTCCTCCCCACTCAGGTTCCTCCCCATTTTCTACGTAACTTTACAGGTAGTCCTCGGGTTACATCCATTCATTCAGCAACTGTTCAAAGTTATGACGGTCCTGAAAAAATGGACTTACAACCGGTCCTCGCACTTACGACCACTGCAGCATTCCCCACGGTTATGTGATCAAAATCCAGGGGCTTGGCAACCGGTCATGCAGTGAGGCAGCAGTGGTGGCAAGGGGCAGAGGTGAGCATGCATGCATGCATGGCCCCATCTGGCCATGAGCTGAGACTGCAAGCCCAGCGGAGGGGAGGGGAGGCAAAGACGACAACGAAGGCTAGCTGGTGGCAGAATACAGCGACCTCTTCATTTCAGTTGTGTTGTGCAGGGCGGCCAAAAAAGCAGAGATGGGGGAGACAGGTGGGGGGGAGTTGAAGCGGAGGCAGTTCGCGCAGGGCAGGAGAAGGGAGGTCCTCACCTAACAACTGCACCAGGACTACTGGGAATGCTTCCCTAAGCTAAGCGGCACATTCACATTTCGCATAACAACTGCTTCGCTTAGCAATGGAAATTCCAGTCCCAATTAGGTTTGTGACCTGAGGGCTACTATATCACAATTCAAAAGAACCTGGGATTTATTTATTTTTTTGCTTCCCTTCCCTTCCCTTTTTTCCCTGTTACTCAGGAAAGAACTAATCTATGCAGATCCCCAGATGAAGCAACAATGACTTAAATGGGACTTACTCCCAAGTAAGTGCACCCAGGAATCTACCCTGAAATACTTACAATAATGATCTTGTTACCTTTTTATCCTCTCGATTCCTCCAGACTTTCAAGATGGCGAATACTGTGTCCCTTCTTAGCTGCTTTTCCCGAAAAGAACCCTGCAGAGTCGGCTAAATAAAAAAGGAATGGCTCTTTTAAATCTGAGTCTCACCAGTCTGAGACCAACAATTCAAACGTCCTGAGATGCAGGGAGGGTGTGTCTGCTGGGGATCCAACCTACAAGATTTTAAGAGCAGGGCTCCCTGTAGGTATAGTCCTTCCTGTTCAGGCACAGAGTTTCTTCAGTTGAACATGTATCCCCTACCAAGATTTTGATCCTTTAAGGGTTTTTGAGACTACTTAAGATTTTAAAGATATTTTTAGAAGTTTACAGCATTTTAAAAGAGACATTCTACTCCGCTTTGGGATTGTTTTCAAGAAGGAAAAAGCAGGCCACCCCATTTCTCAATAAATAAATCAGGGCCCAGAGGGTTTCCTTAAAAATTATATTTTTAGGTACCCCAACTCCAGCACCCCCCTGCAGACTTCACCCCACCAGCAAATTCCACTTTTAATACAGCCTAGAAATGCTCTTCTTTCACTCCCTGGTTTATTTATGCCTAACTTGAAAAATCTGCTTTTCCACACCAGCAAGAAATGCCAAAGCATGCTTAGGTTGCAGCAGTGCAACAAGGAGGGGAAGTTTCCAAAAGTGCTTCCAGGCTCTCGGGCCGCGGTCTCCGCACCTCTTCCCCCCTCCCCGCCCTTGCCCCGCCGTCTGGGAGCCCCGGGGACCCAACTGCCTAGAGGCGACGGGATAATTTTGTAAGTTTCTCTAAGGGCAGCCACCCCAGCCTCCTGCAGCAGGAGGAAGGCAACCCTGGCCTTAAAAGCCGTGGGATCGGGGCGGAGACGGAGGAACGGCACCGGGGGGAGAAGCCGAGGCTGCCACGGAAGCCTGGAAACTGGAGAGGCGTCCCAGCGATGCACAAAGGGTGCGAGGGAGCGCGAGGCCCGCAAGTGGGCGGGAGCGGCGGGAGCGGCGGGA